GTTGGAGTGGGCAGAAAGAGACGTGCAGAAGAATGATGTCCCTTGGCACAAAGTACTCTCACGGTTGAGAAATCAAGGTCTTCACATCTACAACTCAATTTCAGTGTTTTATGGCCCAAATATTATATTTCCAATGGGGCCCTGCTGCTTACAGAAAAAAGTCTACACAGCATTCAAGATCTTCCACACTCTGGACTCTACCTATTTTTCCATAAATAAAGCACACGCGCACACGCAAACACGCAAACACACACACACACACACACACACCCAAAGTCAGACTGGATTGGCAATTCTCCAAACACATTCAGCACTGTCCCACTGCCTGGGTTTTCCAAGTTCCCTCTACTAGGAATGCTCTATCTGGATCAGCTGACATCCTCAGGAGACTTCAGGACACAAAAAATACTGTTACCTTTCTCCTGTACCTCTCTCTGCTCTGTGCTCCTGTCTCTCTTGGTTTACCTGTGAAATTATCAGAGCTGAGGGTACAAAGGCGGTCTTCCATTCTATCTGCCCACAGGGTTTCTGTCTTATGCATCCCCATTTCCCCATAGGTCTGAACACAGTGCCTAACACACTGTAAGCGTTCACTCACATTTTTTGGATGGTTTACACACACTGGGTCTTTCCACATTATATCTTTTTTTCCTTCTTTTCCACTACATCCTCCTTCCTCAATTTCCTTTCTCTTCCTCGGACTGTGTATCTCAAATGCAGTTCCAGTTCCATATATTCAGAGCTGGAGGCTTCAATTCCCAGCCTCTGTTCACACCTTTGTAAAGCCTGGTAGAGCAATTCAGGAGACTGCCTCTTTCTCATACGATATGCAGCTCTTCACCTTCTCCCACAGCTCAACCTCCACCTTTAATACCGTCAGGGCCCCTTAGCTCCTAGCTCTGTCCACGGGACAACGTGGAAACGTAACCTACATCTCCTTGTGGCCAGAAAGGCAGGGAAGGAGGCAGCAAGGAGGAAAGATTTGCAAGTGGCCTTGGGACTCTGATTTCCTCTGAGCTGGGAGTGTGGGGACTGGGTGTGGCAGAGAGACAAAGGGCAAGGATTCCATGTGACAGCCACTCCCTTGAGTCAGAACTTCCCACACCAAGCCTGGGAGTGTAACTCAGACCACTTAAGATGCTACTGACTTCTCTCTGACAAGACTGAGCTCAGACGGTTTCACAGCTTCAGGTGTACCCTAGGGGAGACTTGGAGGTAATCTCACTGGAGCCACTGCGAAGAACAAGGCTGGGCATCTCCTGACCCCAACAGCTGACCTGCTCCCCAACAAAGGAGAAGGGGACCGCCTCTGACAACTGGAGGAGGAAAAACAGATCTGACAGTGAAAGAGCAGAAAAAAAATTTTTTTTAAAGACTGGAATTTCCTCCTGATGTAGCCTACAACTAGAATAGAGTGTGGCACCAGGGAAAAAGAGGGAGGTGGGTTCCCATACGCATGCAAAAAAAAGAACATTCCATTTCTATCCTTTTTTTTTGGCTGTGTTGGGTCTTCGTTGCTACCCGTGTGCGGGCTTTCTCTAGTTGCGGCGAGCGGTGGCTATTCTTCATGGCGGTGCACAAGCTTCTCATTGCAGAGCACGGGCTCTAGGCGCACAGGCTTAGTAGCTGTGGCGCACAGGCTTAGCTGCTCCGTGGCATGTGGGATCTTCCCGGACCAGGGCTAGAACCCGTGTCCCCTGCATTGGCAGGCTGATCCTTAACCACTATGCCACCAGGGAAGCCCTCCGTTTCTATTCTCAGTCAAATCCAGAAGGCAGGTTAAGTCAATGATAACTTTAAACAACACTTTCCCTAAAGCAAGTAAACTATGACGCTCAGGTCTGTGGAACAGCTGGATTAAAGGGGAAATGAGCCCCAACCAAGTTTGGAAACAAATATTAATTTGGGAGAACGTAAAGCTCAAAATCCAATTACTGTCTATACAATTCACTCGATTTTGTCTATTTTATTTTTTTCCCCACTAGATTTAAAGCCTAAAGAGCAGAGTTTTGGTTTTGTCTTTGTTTTGGTCTGTTTTGTTCACTGCTATATCCTCAGTGCTTATACTGTGAGTAGAACATAGTAGGTGCTTAATAAATATTGTGGAATGAACAGATGTTTAAGGCAGCCCAAGAGAGCCTGGGAACGGGTTTGTGCCCCGGTCCGGGAGGATCCCACATGCCGTGGAGCGGCTGTGCCCGTGAGCCGTGGCCGCTGAGCCTGCACGTCCGGAGCCTGTGCTCCGCAACGGGAGAGGCCACAGCAGTGAGAGGCCTCGGCAAAAAAAAAAAAAAAAGAGAGAGAGAGCGCCTGGGACTTTTGTGACACACCCACACTCAGTTTGTAAGAAACGTCTCAGCAGGTGCACAGCCCCACACAAGGGAAGACCAAGAACAAAGGCCAAATTCTAGGCCCAATGGTGCAAGAAGAGCCTACAACCCTCAAAATCAATAACAATTATAGAAGGATATCTACCTTGCCAGGAAAACTACTTAAATTAGAAATTAGTCAGGAAACCAAGGGCCACGACTGCTGGCATGTCAATCGATACAGCATTTTTAATAGCTCAAAGACAGAGGATGTTATCGTGACCCCAGTCCAAGACCAAGCTCCTGCTCAAAGCCAGTGAGTCAGCAATATTTCCTGGGCATTTGCAACAGGCAAGCCATTTAGCACTGCAGGAAATCACAAAATCTAGGCGGTCCCCTAATCATAAACCTCCAACTAAAAAATTTACATTGATGGTCACACCCTTGCACTGCAGATGCAATCCATACCTCTGGAGAAAGCCTTGACTGAAGATTTGAGACAACAGGTGGAGACAGAAGTGCTGTATGGGATGGTCTTAACACCACTGACCACTAAGGACACTGAACCTGGCCTCATATGAGATCCTCCTTCACAATGCTTGAATATTATATGATGTGGCTCCTTCCATAGCCTCAAATTCTACAAATTACAGATGTTTAGGGTTAAAAATGCTTTTGTTATCTTTTAAGTAACACATTTCCCCTGGGCTGCTGAGGATTTCACGACCACCAACCATTCCTAACGTTGAATATTAATGAATATTGACTCAATCTGCTTGTCTCTAGCTGGGTATGAGAACACTGAAGTGGGAGGGAGGGGGGGAATGCAGCAGAACTGGAGAAGCATGGACAGGCTTTTGTAATATGTGGGGGTGGGGGGGGTGTCCAAGGAGGCAGGACGAAGAGAGAAAAGTAGAGAGGGTGATAAGGACATAATTTTCCAATTAAAATAATTTAATCAGGGCCAACCTTAAAACTTATAAAACTTCTAGTAAAATACTTCAATGATTTACTCTTACATATTATACCTCACCCTCCTCCCACCCTCCCTCCCCACCCACCATCACTCCCATCCCGCAAATTAGGCATGTACTATCAGTACTTTGATACAGTGCAGGTTAAGGTAGGGGTTTTCTGGGCTAGCCTGAGAAGCTAAGCACCTTCTGTAACATTGTTTCAGTGCTACAGCGCATTCTGCATTCCAAACAACCAAGTTCCGGACAGGCACAGTAGGGCACACTTTTGGACAGAACCCATCAGTACCGTCAGTATGAGCTCAGAGGTCCCGACCCCTGGACTCCAGGACCTTAGGGTTCCTGGTAAAGACCCAGCGTGCCCCATGAGATTACTGTTCTTTTACCTTTAATAGCTTTAAAATGGCAAATCTTAACACCAAAAGAATGACACTCGGGGGCTTCCCTGGTGGCGCAGTGGTTGAGAGTCCGCCTGCCGATGCAGGGGA